TGAATAACCATGCAAACTTACATGGTGCCCCCACATGTTACGATCACCTATTCGATGTGCCGGTTAACCACACACGCTCCCCCGAACTATGACAAACATTGAGTCACCCTTTGCTACCTTTGCTTAGAACCATTTAGTGTGTCGGTTAACCACACACGCTCCACTAACGTCTTCGCAAGGCTACAAAGTGTAATTTCATGGAATTGCATCAATTCACTTTTGCCTAAAGTAACTAAGACTGAGAATTTTGTAAAACTTTTAGTTACTTTATACTTCATTATACTTTTAATGGAAAGGGTTTGCCCTATCCTACCCGTTCGGCTAACGACCCTCCACCAATCAAGGAAGCGGTGGGTAAGAGTGGATATCCATTAAACGGCCATTTTATAGGCCATAACCTTATACCCCCCTTATAGATCAGCTTCATGAATGAGGCCTACTAACGGTAAGACTAGCATTTTAGTTATACATATATAATATTAAAATTTTAATGTTATACATAATATAAGGGTGTATTTTACACTTTTAAAATACTAGGTGGTTTAAATTATACTTTTAATTAACCAAAATCATTATAGATTTATTAACTCTCCTTTAATTATACACTTAATTAATTTAATAAAACCATAAGGGTTTAATTTGAACTTTTCAAAATTAGGGTTTTGGAATTTATACTTTCAAAATTAACTTTTAATCAACAATTTAAATTCCAAAACTTGAGGGCAAGTTTTGAAACTTTTCAAAACAATTAGGTTTAAATCTCACTTAAAATTTTCGAATTTAAGACATTTAAATTAAAATTTTAAATATTAAAACTCTTGATTTAATAATTATCTTGAATTAGACTATAAATTTTAATTATTAAATCATAAGGGATTATCTAAATCATGAGGATAATTACCATTTATACATTTAAGATATCCTAATCCCTTAAACATCTACATAGATTTCGAAAATAAGGGATGAGATATCCCAAAATCTTTAATTACCATATTTAACTATTAAAAGATAATTACAAGATACGAGATAATCCAAATCCCTAAAATTTAGGATCTAACCTTTGGAAAGGAGGTAATTTCGAAATCCAAGGGTTGGATAACCCTAGATTTCAAAATCTTGGAGGCTAAGGAAAGGTTTTGGGAAACCCTAGCAAAAAATCGCCAACTAGGGTTTTGCAACCATAATTGCGAAAATTACCTAGCCTTCAGGGTTTATTAGCCATAAACCCTAATATGTCAAGTTCATACATTTGAATAAAAGCTAATTGAAAACAAAAACCATTGGCTCTGATACCACTGATGGGTTTTATACAGATAATCCTATGTGTGCATGCAACCGTAGAATTGGATCTATGTTTTCACTATAGTTACACAACTTTATGAACACATAATAAAACCCTAATGATACATACTATTTTCGAAATTCACCAAGAAGATTAGAATACATACCTTTTGTTGTTATATAGTAATAACAACTCAAATCCTCCTTGTAATGGCTTTAGAAAGCTTAGAGTCACAAGTGTCACTCCTCTAATGGCTCACAAACACCAAGAACAAGAGAATGAAGAATAATAAGAGAGGAGGCACCCAAAAACGTGTGGAAACCCTAAGGAAACTCTTAGCCACGTTTTTGGTGCTCTAGGGATCCTTAAATGGTGAGGCTATTAGGGTTATCTAACAAGGAAACCCTAATTTGACTGGTTAAGCCCTAAGCAACCCATAGACTCCCTTCTTAGAGGCCTAGGATGATTTCTAATGGGTTTCCCCATAGAATTCGTCCACCCCTCTAATATTGAGTCCATTAGCCCAATATTCAACTATCATACAATTGATAGTTCTAGTCCCTTAAGTTTAATTAATGTCTTTTAGCCACATAAATAAATTCTTAATTAATTATTGACTAATATTAATTAACCAATATGATTTCTCCTTTAATATATTATTCTCATAATATATTAATAAATCATAATTAATCCTCTCCCTCTCTATAATTCATCCTATCAAGTTGCTTTGGTGAAGGCAACCCAAAAGGACCATGCACCATCGTGTCAAGTATATACCAAAATAGTTATGAACTTAGACACTAATCCAACAGTTTCATCCTTGAGAGGCTATATCTAGAGATTGAGACCTTATTTCTACTTAGAATCGTCTGAATGAGAAATTGTCTAGAGGGACTCGACGAGTGCATGAGCCAACTCGACGAGTCAGTTAGGGTTTTCCCCGATTAGACTGGACGCGCTGCAACTCGGCGGGTTGAGGAGATAACTCGATGAGTTGAGTTGGATTTTCCCGATATTCTAGAGAAAACGAAGTAACTCAACAAGTTTAGTTAACAAGGACTGTTGATTGGAGCATTGACTTCATTGACTTTTAGGGTTTGGTGAACTGTGGACCTTAGAGACCATGGAGGGGTAAAATGGTATTTTCACCCCTCATGATATTAATGGAGAAGTTAGCTTAGCATCTCTAGTGGTTATTACAATTTAATTATTAGAGATAATTATATTATGTAGACATAGTCTAAACTGTTTGTGGGGTGCTAGATCTACTTGCTTACTTCCGAGATGAGTCTTCTCACTATACTTACCTGAGCGGTAATACTATGTGATCGGAGGGTCTTATTGAGTTATCGACTGGAGGGTTATATGTGTTTGTATTGAAATATGTGATATTGTGCATTTTGTCTTTGTGATATATGTTATATTATTCTGTGCTTTACTGAGATTGGACCGGAGGGTCCAACCTAAGGAGTGAGACCGGAGGGTCCACACTTGAAATCAAAGATTTCCCAATATTGAGTGAATAATATTGAAAGCATGTCGAAATTAGAAATTTCAAAAGGAAATTTAACGTATTTACCAAACTGAAAAGCTTGACATAATGCAGTAGACTTTTTGGTTATTACAAAAAATTAAAATACTTGAAAGTAGAGGCTTTAATGCTTGATCACCGGGATAATCAAGTTGTTGATGCCAAAAAATTAAAACGAGTACTTGAGGAGCGAAAGTAACATCATAAAGGAAGGCCATATTATCACATCGAATAAGAGGTTGGTGGCTCGTTAACCATTAAGGCTGGAGGGAGTGGTGCCACCGAAACCGCACTCCCTCCCTCGGCACATAAGCGCCATGTCACTTTTTACCACACAAGTGTGGTTTCCTGCCACACCAAGGGAGTGGTGCCACACTTTTTGTAGCTATTTTAATTAAAACTTCTTTTTTAATAAAAAACATAATTTTTCATTACTTGAAAATTAATAAAACGTTACATTGCATTACCAAAAAAAAAAAACGAAAACCACACACACATGACGTTAAAATAATCCTAGAAACTTAAAAAACACAAATAAAATAACTAAAGCAAACTACATAAAGTCCTTCTCCGAGAACTCGTCTTTGAAGTCATCCGATGGATCCAAATTAAGGTTAATGTTTTGAACCCCGTAAATGTGTTCCACCAAGTCATTGCGAAGATTGTGAAATGTTTCAGTGCAACGTATCTCTACTCTCCTGTTCATATACTCTTCGCCACTAATTTCTATTGGTTGTGTCTTTGGTATGGTTTCTACCTCGTCAAACGCACATATCGCTCTTCCTTCATCTTCAATAATCACGTTATGCAATATGAGACATGTATACATGATTTCTTGAAGTTTTTCCTCGCCTAAGTAACTTACTGGTTTTTTCAATATGAACCACCATTTCTTTAGAGCTCCAAAAGCACGCTCAACATCCTTCCCAGCTCTTTCTTGAGCTCTCGTGAATTTCTTTCGTCTAGAACCATGTGGACACGTAAACGATTTAACAAACACAACATACTCAGGATATATTCCATCGACCAGATAATAACCATACTTATATGGCGTTCCACGCACTTTAAAAGAAGAATGTAGTGCGGATTCATCATATATGTTGTTAAATATAGGTGAATGATTAAGAACATTGATGTCGTTAATCGAACCGGGAGAAGCAAAAAAAAGCATGCCAAATCTACATATCTTGTGATGCATCTACTTCAAGTATGACCGTTGGGTGACAATGATCACCTCGGGTAAATTGCCAATGACATGAAGTAGGGCAATTTTCCTATGCCCAATGGAGGCAATCTAAGCTTCCTAGCATTCCAGGAAACCCATGCACATTAGCATGATGAGCTTGCAATCACAGGATGTTATTACGTGTAGGCCTACGTAAATATGTCTAGTGCTATCTTAGCAGACATCCTAAAACTTCCGTCTAACGCATCAGGCGGAATGCCATATGCTAACTGACGAAGTGCGGCCGTGCATTTTTGTAAGGGAGTGAAACTGGGTGTACTTCTAGCATCGTAACGTTGTTGAAAAAAACTGCACTCCCTCGTTACATCTTCAACTATACGTTCGTATAAACCTTTGAACATTCTGAAGCACCTACGAAAATGATACCCTTGATAAGTGGCATTCTGTTCAAAATAGTCTTGCACTAAACGTTGGTTGGCTTCTTCACAATTTCTGAAAATATATCTTTGTGTTCTTCGTTGAGAACTAATAGCTGCGTTATTTGCATAAAGCATCGTATGTTTGTTTCGCCATTTGAGCACACGTAACAGCAACATCAAAAATAGTCTGAAATTCTTCAGAAGATGACATTTTTGAGAAAGAGTGGTGATTTTTTTTTTTTTTAATTTTGAGAGAGAGAAAAGGTTGTATTGTGGTTAAAAACAAATGAATTGTATATGTATATATAGGAAAGAAAAGCAAAAAGAAAAAAAAATTAAAAAAGCAACGCCCAAAAACATTTAACGGTCGGTTATTTCACCAGCCAATCATGTGACGCGGTATTCACCAGCCGCAGTGCGGTAAAACCGCACCAGACTGCAGTCTGGGGGCAGTGTGCGTGGTCCAGCTGGCACAAACCGCAGCCACACCCTCCAGCCTAAGAATAAAAACAAAACTCATCAAAGTCAATATAATATTTTATTATGTTTGTATATTTTCCAATGGAAATAAGGTTTGGTTATGTTTGGAGTAGTGTTGTTTAAGTATAGTCATACTTACTTTTATATGGATGATAATAAAAATCTGAGATTTTTAATTTTGATTTTGTTACGTAAATTCGTACAACTTTTCATGAATTAAATAATTTATTATTTATTTGGTCACACTAAATTTCACAAAAAAAAAATCATTTAATTTAGAAGCTCAAATTCAAAATCAACCAAACCATGCCCTGAGTTCTTGATAATCAGATAAATCATCCAAATTTTGCCGATCTAAAGTTCTAAAATCATCAATAAAACAGAACCCATTTCGAATTTCTTCCAACTATCAGTAGGGTTTCTTTTTAATTTCAGGAACTGTAATGGTAATTAACACACCCATGAAGATTGGATCATAGAGGAAAAGACGGCGTTAAAGAGACAGCTTACTTACCAAACATCATCCCTTTTACCCGCTCTCATCTTCTCTTCAAATCCATGGAACTCTCACTCTCTCTCCCTTCAAACCCATGCGTATATATACCCCATGGCAGAAGCACCATCTCTTCTGTGTCATTTGATTCAATCAGAGCCTCTCAGATCATATCCGAACACCCTTCAGATAACAACCTCACGTTTCACCATCACCCCCTTCCGTTTTTTGTCTGCATTTGGATATACAGAGATATAAAACTGTGTTATCGGATAAATGGAGGACGATTTTGATATTCCCACTGCCGGAAAATTGAACGAAATCGACGGAGAAGACCCAATCGGCGACGAAATGGACGTGCCGGAGGGTGGAGCTGGCGGGAAAGTGGGAGAAGAGAAGGAGATTGGAAAAAATGGGTTGAAGAAAAAGATCCTTAATGAAGGTGCTGGCTGGGATACCCCCATTAATGGCGATGAAGTTGAAGGTAATTTCCATACATTTTCTTCAAAATCAAAACTTTCATCATTTACATGAATTTCGATTTGGGAATTCCATAATGTTGCATTCTGATTCAATTCTACAGTTCACTATGTTGGAAGTTTACTCGATGGAACTCGATTCGATTCAAGCCTCGATCGGGAGCTGCCATTTAAGTTCAAGCTCGGGCTCGGTAAAGAGTAATTCTGAACAATTTCACACGATAATTCTTCTTTCTAAAGTAGCAATCGTATTTGTAACATTACCCATGAGTCGATTTCTGTAATCTTCTTGATATTCGTTTTTGCCATTACAGGACACGTGATCCAAGGGTGGGACGATGGTATCAAGACTATGAAAAAAGGCGAAAAATCCCTTTTTACAATTCCTCCCACTCTTGCATATGGTGAATCCGGATCGCCTCCCACTATTCCTCCTAATGCAACACTTCAGTTTGAAATTGAGTTGCTTTCATGGACCAAAGTGAAAGATATTTCCAAAGATGGAGGAATTTTGAAGACAATAGTAACTGAAGGACAAAACTGGCAAACTCCTAAAGATCCAGATGAAGTTCTAGGTACATTACATCTTTTTACTGTTAAACTGTGTTAACCTGTTATGTCATGTTGTGTCATAATATGTCTGTCATAACATGATTCGTGTGTCATACAGTTAAGTATGAGGTGCGGCTTGAGGATGGAAGTTTAGTTTCAAAAAGTGAGGAGGTCGAATTTACGGTTAAAGATGGTAAGTAGTTTCCCGTTGTGGAAATTACGTATTTACCCTCAACAATTGTTACTTACAAGAAGTTATATATGCATAGGGTGTTTTTGTCCTGCATTGTCAAAAGCTGTGAAAACAATGAAGAAGGGAGAAAAAGCCGTCTTCATAGTGAAGCCACAATGTGAGATTTTGATTTTTTGAATTCGAATCCACACGAAATTTTAGTTTATTATATTTCACATTCGCAAGATTGAATCTTGAAGGGCTTTTTCGTCATTTTTGATCGATAGATGGATTTGGGGAGAACGGGTGGGACCCATCAGGTGGTGATGAATGTGTTGTGCCACCAAACACCACCATTCAAATAACAGTTGAGTTGGTTTCATGGAAGATTGTTTCAGAGGTTACAACAGATAAAAAGGTTTTAAAGAAAATCTTGAAAGAAGGAGAAGGGTATGATCGTCCGAATGATGGTGCAATTGTTCAAGGTTTTCTTCTTCTTTGTAACAACTCATCCCACGTGGACATTGTGGGCCCTTTATAAGCCTTAATGTACTTATGCTTTTCTCTTTTTTAAATAGTGAAATTGGTTGGGAAACTCGAAGATGGAACTGTGTTTGTGAATAAAGGACACAACGAGACACCATTTGAGTTCAAGATTGATGAAGGTGAGTGCGATTTTGGTGTTTCTTTAATAAAAATAATGAAAAGACGTGAGCTAATAACAACGAAATCGGTTTCTTTTTTGATGATAGAACAAGTTATTGATGGAATTGATAGAAGTGTGAAGACGATGAAGAAGGGTGAAGTTGCAGTGTTGACTATTCATCCAGAGTATGGATTTGGTTCAATCGAATCACATCAAGAATCAGCAATTATTCCTGCGAATTCCAATGTGTATTATGATATTGAGTTGATTTCATTTGAAAAGGTATGGAAATTGCAAAAGTTTTGATCTTTTTAGGGTTCTTGAAGAATTCGGAAGGATAAAAATGGTTTGAGTTGTTACAGGAAAAAGACACGTGGGAATTAAGTACACAAGAAAAGATCGAAACTTCAGGGAGAAAGAAAGAAGAAGGGAATACGCTTTTCAAGAGACAAAAATACGAGAGAGCTTCAAAAAGATACGAAAAGGTAATATAAATATAAATACATATTATATATTTATTATTATTATACTTCATCTCTTGTATATATAAACCATACAACCTTTTTTATGACACAGGCTCTTAGCTTCGTTGAATATGACTCAACTTTTAATGATGATGAAAAACAAGAATCCAAAATCCTAAAAATCAGCTGCAATTTGAACAATGCTGCATGCAAATTAAAACTGAAAGACTATAAACAAACAGTAAAGCTTTGCACAAAGGTCTTGGATGCTGATAGCAAGAATGTGAAGGCGCTTTATAGAAGAGCCCAAGCATACATTCAACTTGTTGATTTGGATCTTGCAGAGATGGATATTAGGAAAGCACTCGAGATTGATCCTAAAAATAGGTAATTTTGATTTCTTTGGATTTTTGAATTTTGAATTTTGAATTTGAAAGAAGCTAAGAATTGTGTATGATTTTGGTTTTTGATTAGGGATGTGAAGTTGGAGTACAAATTGTTGAAAGAAAAGGTGAAGGAGTATAACAAGAAGGATGCCCAATTTTATGGAAATATTTTCAGGAAAATGAACAAATTGGAACACCTACAATCTAGTGTAAGTTGCAATAAAATGGATGTATTGACATGACATGCCACGCCATAACAGGACAAATTGTTTTGCCTTTGGCATGCATCTGTTTAAGGGAATGTTTATTTTTGACCTAATGTATTAAGCACTTAATCTGGACAAAATGACTTAATTGGTTAAGCCAAAAAAACATGGTTTAATGTATTAAGGCACTAGCCCTTTACCGACTTGCCCTTTTTTCCTTCCCAAGTTTTCTCACATTAAAAATTGTGAATATTTTGAATTTTTTTTTTACAGATGTAAAGGCAAAATGGTTATTTGGTCTCATTCGAACCGTTTATTTAGTCTAGAAAAGTCTAGAAAAAAGAAATAGACTTTATGTATACAACACTTTATCTGAACAAACATCATTACGCATTCAACCACTTACTTATAGATGACTTAATTGAGAAAAAAAAAAAACCCCTAAGACCGATATCAGTAGGTGTGCAAAAGACATGTATGTTCTCCTCATTGAAAATAACCTTAGAAACTAAATTTGTGACATATTGCAGACTGGAGCAAGAAAACAAGAAAGGGTGCCCATGACGATTGATAGCAATGCATGATGAGTGAATTTGGACTTGTTTTTTTGCTCTATAATCACTATGAATAACTAGAAAAGCAGTCTAAAAATCGACATGATTACACATGTTTTCGGTTAGTGAGGTTTTTGTGAGGAGGTATTGTAGTGTTTTTGAAAGACTTATGAAAATTGATTAGTTATAATAACTCGCATTTTTTGGATCTTTCCATACTTAATCGACTCGATTTGATTTTGTTAGAAAACAACAAAAATTGAACACAAAATTCTTATAGGTTATGTAATTTATTTAGATTGAAGAGGGTATTTTTGAATTTTTGGGATACATTTAAAAGAACACCAATAAATTATATAATTTAGAGAAATTAAATATCCTCCTACTTATTTTCCTACAAATCTTCCTATCAAATTAAATATTAACATGAATAATATTTAATGTTTATTTAATGAAATTCAATGATATTTTAATGTACTAATATGATACATGTTATCATTTAATTGGATAGAAAAATTTATAGGAACAAAAAGTAGAAAGATATTTAATTTCTCTATAATTTATAATCTTTTTTTTGAAAGAGCAATTTATAATCTTTCTTTCTCAATGTTTAACATCAAATAATGGTATCTTACTAGATTTTGCATTTTAATGAAAGAGATGAAGATTGAGGAGGATGAAAAAGATAAACATGGGTCCAAATAGTCATTGTTACTTAGACTTAGAGATGGACAAAATAGTCCAAAACTAAAACTGGTTCTTAAAACCATACTACACTCGATCCTAAACTTAAACAATTTTCAGTCATAAACAAGTGAAAGAATAAAATTGGATTGAAATCAATTTTTTATATTATTATATATTTTATTATTATAGATTAAAACCATTCATGCCAAATTTCTCAATTTCTCGAACTGATGCAAAAGTTATAACTAAACATAATTGATATATAGATTATCCGTGAAAAACAATATCATGAACGAATTAATAACCAAACATAATGCATGCTTTTCTCACTTGTCCATGCTCTTAAAATTGATTAAACCATTTAATAAATGTTCTTTCAATTATACAATAACAATTCAATCATGCTCTGATTAAACAAATTTAGTAAATGCTCTTTCAATGTTGTTATATTGGCAATTATATTTCTTTGGAACCGACAAATATATTATGTAAAACAGAAACTAACACCCGTCCATCAAGTAACTAAACGGGGCTGGAAGAGAAACAAAGTACATGATAAAAATGAGAAAGAAAATAGTTACATATTACAAGTAAGAAAATGGACAGCTAAGCAAAATCAAACTAATTATAACTGCTCTTCGCCATTCGATATTTGATCCACGTGAAGACCTGCGATTTGATGTTACCCACCACTGTTGTCGGGTTAACATAGAGGTTCTTAAAAACCCTATCACACCTTTCCTTCTAGATCCACCACAACGTTCCATAACATATACTGATCATCATATTTCTCTTCCGTTGACAGTTCTCCCATCCCCTAGCAAATTCAATGATATCAAGAACAAATGAGATTTGGGATGGCGCCGGAGTATCGCACCATCGTAGGACCCATTCCCATACGTTTGTTGCAAAAGGTCACTTAATGAATACATGGCACACATCTTCCTCTTCTGAGCTACAATAGATACATGACGAGGAACCTTGGATTATTCCCCTCTTCATTAGTTCCTTTAATGTTGGAATTCTCCCTTGACACACACACCATATAAAACATTAAACTTTAATAGGTATCTCTTTAATCCATTCAATGTTTTTTTGGTTCCATTGTTGTTGGTTTATCAATCAGTCGCCTAAGTACATCAATATGGTACATTCCATCCGATGATATACCGCATCGCCATCTATCCATTGCCACCGAGGGTTGAAAAGTTCCTAACAGTGAGGATAATGCATGCAGTTCGCTTACTTGGTAAACAGAGGAAGGGGTTGGTTTCCATCTCCAGGTGTGTCGACCAACCTGAATTCGATCTGCAACTCTACACGTTTTGTACCTCTCCAGTTGGTATAGAGCCGGGAATAATATTTTTGGGGATTGTGTCCCTATCCATTGGTCAGACCAGAATAGAGTGTTATCTCTTTTATCCATCTGCTTTACTAGTACTACATCCATATCAATCCACAATTCTTTGAGATGATCTTTGATTCCTGCATCATTGCTCCATACCCCTGAAATGGCTTTTTCTTGAGATGACACTCGATGGTTTAGTCCATAATATACGGATTCCTTTAATCACTCGGGCCCATAATTGTAAGGGATCCGTCTTAAACCTCCACCACCATTTCATGATCAAGGCTAGGTTTAGGGCTCTCATCGATCCAACTCCTAATCCACCCATTTCTTTTGAAGCTTTGACCTTTTCCCAAGATACCCAATGTACTTTCTTTTTTCCTTTGTGACCTCCCCAAAGGAGCCTTCTTCTAATAGATTCAAGTGTGTTTACTACTCCGATAAGAGCAGTAAATAAAGAGAAATAAAATGTTGGGAGGTTCCCCACAACAAACTTGACCAGTGTCATTCGACCCCCAAAGGAAAGTGTCTTCGCCTTCCATGTAGAATGTTTAGTATGGAACTTTTCAATAACCGGCTTCCAGTACTTTTTTAATTTCATGTTTGCTCCAATAGGAACTCCCAAATAAGTGAAGGGGAGTGTTGCTGGTTTGCATCCCAATGGAGTCGCCCATCACCTCTTGTGTACTTACACCAATACCAAATACCTTTGATTATAGAAGTTCACTTTTAATCCAGAAGTCACATGAAAACTCCTTAGGATTTGGTCAAGATTCCTTATGTTACATCTACTCCAATCACCCACAATAAGGGTATCATGTACATAAAACAAATGTGATATTGTCGCCTTGTTATGTGGAATTGTGATTCCTTTGAAGATTCTCTTTTCACACACTACTTTCATAGCCATGTTTAGGCCTTCCATGGCGATAATGAATAAAAAGGGGGAGAGGGGGTCACCTTGACTAACCCCTTTTTTAATGGAAAACTCCTCTATGGGAGATCCGTTTACAAGGACGAAAGCTCTAGCAGATACAAGGAAACCTTTAATCCATCTACGCCATTTCTCACCATATCGCATTTGTTTTGTTTTTGGAGGGAATCGAGGTACTCCCAGTTTATTGAGTCAAAAGCCTTGTCAAATTCTATTTTGAAGAGCAAGATTTTTTTTCTCACCTTTTTGTCCATTAGCATAGTGCATTGACTATAAGTGGTTCATCAAGTATGTTTCTTCCCTCTATAAATGTCGACTACACTTCATTGATGTTGTGCCCAATGACTCATTTCAGTTGATTTGCAAGCGTCTTTGCAATAATCTTATAAATACAACCAATGAGGCTAATTAGTTGGTAATCTCCTGACTTGAGTAGGTCTTTTACTTTTGGAACCAGTGTTATAAAGGATGAGTTACATCCCATGTTGAGCTGCCCATGTATCTCAAAATGTTTTACACATGAGAATATATCTGACTTTAATAAATCCCAGAATTTTTTGATGAATTTAAAATTGAATCCATCACAGGGCCCTTCTCATTCCCACACGCCCAGACTGCAGATTTAATTTCTTCAATACTGAAAGGGGCCTCAATCATGTTGCTAACATGTACACTTAATGAACGAAATCTATTACTAAAAAGCTTTGGTCTTGTTGGCCATTTCTCCTGGAATCTATCATCAGGCCTTCGTATTGTGTTGAAGTCCCCCATCACTATCTAGGTTCCCGGTGTTTCTCTTTTTATTTGTAGCAAGTCTTCCCAGAGTTTACGTTTTCCAACCGATGATTGTGGGCCATAGACATAAGCGATTATTATCCTCTCATGAATTCCCATCCAGGTTCCAACAGTTATTAAGAAATGCCTAGTTTTGATTACATCTTCCACTTTGTAAATATGATATATTTTCTTTTAAAGTTGAAATCATTCCACTCCATCCACATAAGGTCTTTGCAATTAATTACCAACAATAATTTTTTTAATAACTCTTGTTATATTGCAACTTTGCAATTAACTACCAACAAGCAACAACGGATAAATGTCCAAGTCTTTAATGTTTGATTAAGTAAATAATTAATACATTCTCATGTTTACCTGCTATAAATATGTAGGACCTTAGATATTGAGATACAAAATTCCATAAGGCAGCATAGAGCGGGCAACGCCTAATGGCGTTATTATGACGTGGCTCGCAGATAAAGACGTTACGACGTCGTAAACAGCGCCCCCCTATTGCGTTTTTTGGCGTTATAGTAAGAGGCGTTACCGTGGTAACGTAAGGAAATGACCTTTTTTTGATTTTTTTACTGGAACGGGCATATTTTCGACCATTTGCAAATGGTCACAATTAAAAAAAATCCTTACTATTATAAATACTCAAAAATTCAAACTTTTCATTTTACCTTAATACTCTACTTAATTATAAAATGGAATCTTTTGATCTGTTCCATCCATACAATCATGATATTGATGATGATGATATGTGCGTGGGTATGATGTATCAATATTTTACCGACATAATACCGCCACAGCCAGCTCCACTACTGACCAGATGTGCGACGTTGAACAAAGATCGTGATCAAGAGGGCAATAGACGTCTAGTACACTATTATTTTGCGGATAATTGTATCTACCAACCAAACGATTTATAAAGAAGGTTTCGTTTACGGAAAAATGTATTTCAACGAATAGCCAATGCAATGGAAAGCAGGTACCGTAATTACAATTATAATCAATTTTAATATATGTTCTTTAGATTATTAAATAATTGCTTTAAAATTTTATTATATGTTCTTTAGAATATTAAAAAGTTGTTTGAAAAAATTATTATATGTTTTTTAGATTATTAAAAAGCTGTTTGAAAATTTTATTACATGTCTTTTAGATTATTAAATAATTGTTTGAAAAACTTATTATATGTGTAGGTATGAATATTTCCAACTAGGTAGGACGCGAGAGGTAAATGAGGTTTTACAGGGTTCCAAAAATGTGTTATTGCAATCAAGCTTATGGATTTGGTAGAATCGTCCGATTCTATTGATGACTATATGAGAATGTTAAAGGGAATTGCACGAGAAAGTTTGTATAGATTGGTGAGAGGTGTTATCGAAACCTTCGGTGAAAAATACTTGCACAAACCTTCATTGAATGACATATAACAACTATATGTGGCGCATGAAGAACAACATGGTTTTCCGGGAATGCTTGGAAGCATTGATTGCACAAAGTGGATATGGAGAAATTGTCCTATGGCGTGGA